TTGCTCTAACAGTCTGCAAAAAATAATAAGCCGGATCCAATTCGAAGATTAAGGAACAACGCAATCTGCAACATTAACTGAATTAAATAATTTTAGCTTAGCTTATATCGTCCGTTATACATGAAACGCGCATGCGTAAACGTTTTATGCATATTCGCAACCGTAAAGGTCTTACGCGCACACATAAACGCCTGTGCGCATGCGTCATGCGCAGAAAGTTTTTAGCTTTGAGGTCCGGATTATAGATCATTCTGGATTATGGGTGTCCGAATTAATGACTTCTGACTGCATACAACATCTGACTCCAAATAAATATGCTCTGTAGCTTTACTTGTTCTTTAGGTCAGATAGAAAAATGCTAACTCTCGTAACCAGTGCAGGTTAAGCCATAAGTAAGAAGAAAGAAGATGTCCTAACCAATTTTTCCCATACACTGTTTTGAAGCACTGGTCACCAATACATTGAGTGATTTACCAGTAAGATCAATGGGTTTTGACTGATTGGATGTAAATATTTTGTAACTACATCGTAAATATACATATAAATGTATGTATTTTCTTTTTCTACAATATTTCAGAGTCCTAAGCATGTGAAAAGAATAAATTTTTAAGCAATATTTCATTCTGAACGGAATTTAATGCTACACTTTTCACAGAACAGTTTGCTCAGAATGGTTTAATTTGAATGAAATTTGAATTTCACAAGTTTTCATTAATTGCATTAGAATAATGTTTTAAGGTAATTTGATTTTCAGTTAAGGATTACAAAAGTTAAGATCAAAGTTTATTGTATTATTAATATTAAAATTATGCATTATTTCTTTTCTATTTATAGAGCTTCTTCCTAAAATACTTTCTCAAATATGACATGATTTAACTTTTGAGGAATCTTTTAAATCGAAAAATCTAAGTCAATTTATAGTTAATGTTCTATTTGGTCCATTTCAAATTGGAGTACTTTTTATTTTAATAGTGAAATATGTGGTTAGATTAGAGAGAAGGTTATCCCTTATATTATTGCAAAGTTGTTGTTTCATTTATTGCCAAGTGGTGCTTTATTTATGGTAGCCTAAGTAGTTGAATGTTATCAAAACCCTATTAGACATGCACTATTATGACATAATTGGTTTCATGATTGCGGTGAATTTGTAACGGCTTGTGGTCTGTGTTGGTTAGGAAGAATCTTGGTTGTTTTGTGGTTTACATGATAAAATGGCTGAATGTGGTAAGATTAATTTGAAGTTTCTGTATGATTTGGAATGAAAGGGAAAAAAGCATTAATTGACTGGTATGTAAATGAAAGTTTACTTAGTAGCCATTATTAAGTGTCCTGTTTGTAAAAAGGAAATGCGTATGGTTGGAAGATACGGCTACGGCGCTACGGAAGATATTTTTTAGTCTTATTTTGTGAATTTATGTGGTGACATCAGTATACAGATTTTAGTTCAGGTAATTTTAGGAAGTTTTTGAATGCTGTTAAGGAATTTTGTTTGACTGAAGACGTGTTAATTTGTGAATAAGGTAGGTGGATATTTCCTTTGTGTAGTGCAAAGATGAATTTCCTTTTTTACGTTATTTATTGTTTGATTTAAAATGTAGTTTTTTGAGATTGTGTAGTTTTTTTTATGGCTGCTCCTTTGACTTTTTAAGTGAATATAGTTCGATGTGTACATGAACAAAGGGAGTGCGTAGTGCCTAGTTTGTGCAATTCTCTGATTTTTTTTTAAGCAAAAATAGGTTGATGTGTACACAGATAAAGTCAGGGGAGTGCGCAATGCCAAGTTTGTGCAATTCTGGGATTTATTTTTAAGTGAAAATAGGTCGATGTGTACATGGATACCGAGTTTGTGCAATTCTTTAGCTTTGTGTAGCGGCGATTTTGGGGGCAAAAATCGCTGCTACACAAGCCAAAATTTTACTTAGGATTAATTCATAGTTAGAAGAAGTTTCTTTTCAGGGTTCATAGTGGTCCTTATAAGTGATTATAAGTCCTTATATTTCAAAATAAAATATAAAGACCCTTATAGGTGCTTACTTTTTCTTTAAAGCCCTTATTTTTTTGTTTTTAGTGCTTATTTTTTGCTTTTAGTCCTTTTTTTAATGAACGCGCTATTTTCCCCTGTACCAAAGCCGAAACTAAATAAACAACTTTTCTTCCTAATATGGAATGTCAGATGGTGAATCATACTCCCGGAAATAGCTTTTCCCCCTTTCTCTGCATTAACATAACTTTTAGTGTGCACGAAGAGTGCAGACAGGTGCCCGTAGTTCTATTGGTCAAAGAAATGTGAAAGCAGTAGAAAATTCCGGTACATTCGGCATTCTTTTTCTCCCGTCCAAATACTACAGTCAAAAGTCGTTAATCCGGACTCATCGGGACTTCGGCAATTCCGGATTATAGATCATCAGTTTAAATCTGGTAAGATGGCATGCAGAAATTACAAAATTAAAAATATGAAACCGTAATTTATGAAATAAAGAACAATTATGATCTAAAGGGTATCAAAATTTACAAAAAGAAAAAGCTTAATATTTATTTGTTTACTTTATTAAACATTTCTTTCAAAGTAAGTTGCTTCGGTTCATGTGATAATACTTTCTCTTTAATTCTATTAAACAGACATAATTTCTTGTTTAGTTACAAAGTTCCGCTGTTCAAGTCCTATAATTGCTGTGTTGAGAATACCGACTAATTTGTCAATTGAAATGTTTTCGTTTTCAATAACCTCTGGGTTACTTTCTTCACTATCGGAAGCGAACTATAATGAGGAGGAACTTGATTTAAATCATATCAGAGACGGAGTACATCGAGATGAAATACTACACTTAGTAAGGAATTATAAGCCAAATAAAATAAAAACATCTGCCCTGAAGATAAGGATAGTGCTGACAGATCAACTTCCAAACCGCGGCGTGAAATTGATAAACAGATTTCGGATTTCAAAACATACTTTCGCTTTGTAGATACAAATTACATATTAGTAAATATATATCGGAAATTCTATTTGACATAATCGAAAGTTCAAGCTTACTTTATGAAATTGCTCTAAACAGTCTGCAAAAAATAATAAGCCGGATCCAATTCGAAGATTAAAGAACAACGCAATCTGCAACATTAACTGAATTAGATAATTTTAGCTTAGCTTATACCTCCGTTACACATTAAACGCGCATGCGCACAAACATATTCGCAGCCGTAAAGGTCTTATGCACACTCTTAAATGCCTGTGCGCATGCGTGAACGCGACGCAGGCGCAGAAAGTTTGTAGCTTTGAGGTCCGGATTATAGATCATTTCGGATTATGGATGTCCGAATTAATGACTTTTGACTGTACACACGTTTGAATTTCTATCAAGATCTTGATAATTTGCATTCTCGTTCCACTTGGTCAGTTCATATCCGTGTTTATTATGATCGTTATGCTTATATTATGAGCATATGTATGAATGTTTATAACAACATAGTTGCAGTAAATGCTGAAGTATAGTAAACTTCCAAAAATTGTTGTGTTTTAACACAGAGCTTTCTAAGGAATAATATTCGGAATGGCTTAAATAAAGGGAAAGTAACCGAATAGTCAAAATAATTTAATTTTTTTGGCCAATACATTACACAGTACGAAGGTTGGGAGGTTCTTCCCTTTCTCCGCAAAATCTCGAATATTGAAACTGTTACAGTTCGCTGCAAAACAAGCAACGGGCCTTTTTTTTTTTTTTTTTTTTTTTTTTTTTTTTTTGGTCACTTTCCAATCTGGATTGAATAGGACTAAAAGTTCTGCGGTCTACCAACCCAAACAGAGTTTTTAAATGGAAGACTATGCTGAAACAAAAACTCACTTTTGGTATTATAGTTAGAGTGTATGAGAAAGGTTGGATGTCGTTTGACTTAATGAAAGAGTGGCTCAAAATTGTATGGAACCATTTTCCAGGTGCTCTTCTATATAAGTTACTGCCATGGCCATCTCATGGAAGGTTTAAACAAACAAACAAAAAAAAGAACGAAACAAAGACTATTCCTGTTGTTATTCTAGGAAGACGTGCATGAAATTTTGCAACCATTAGATCTATCAGTGAATAAACCATTTAAAGACCATCTCTTAAAGTTTTTTAATGAATGGCTATCAGGTCACACAATTTTATGAGAGCTGGAAAAATCTGGAGATCATCCATTGAAGTGATTTGCTCGTGGATTTTCGGTGCATGAGATCTGATTGATGAAGCAGTAATTATGAAGAACTTCAAGAAAATGGGGATATTTAATGCTCTCAATGGTTCTGAAGATCATTATATGTGGAAAGATAGATTTAACAGCGACATAGACAATGGTGATGACTTGTAAGCTGTAGCAGATGATGCAGACAGTAGCTGCGGCATCACTGATTCATTTGAGGATTAGGGACTAGAAGTGGATAACAAAGGAACAGATGTGATTCAAGTTACATGGAAGTAGAATTGAGGTTATCTTATTAGATATTGTAATGTTAATATTACTATGCATTTTTATTAGAATAGAAATTTCTTTTAAAATAATATGTATGGCATTGTTTGCATTGCCAAGTGGCTTCTTTTCGTATTTTATGTTTATAACATACGCGACATCGTTTTGTTGGGTGTTTCTTTAATTCTGTTGTCGGAATATTCTCTGGGAAATGTTCCCAATTTTTCGCTTGTAAACGATGTGGTATTGGTAAACGATTTTGTATTGATTAGATTAATTTCAGATGATAGAGTCGGACTCGTCCACTGTAATTTTGCCCAAGTAAGCAGATGACAAATCTCACTTGTCAAATATACGCAAATGGTTAATATGATTTTTATAATTGAAAATTGTAGTGGAAAGGAAGTTACACATTTAATTATATCATTTTCATTGTATCATTTATCTCTTTGCACTAAGAACATAAAAAATTAAGTAAGGTTTTTGAGGTAGATATATCATCTAGTATATGATTTATGTACTTAATATGTGACTTTTCATTTATGATTATTTTTTATGTGTAGAATATGAATATGGATGACATCGAACTCAGAAACATCGAACCAGATCAACCTCTGATTCGGTCATTGTCTCGAGCAGAATCCTTTACTCATCAGGTATTGTTCGTGTGATTTTAGTTTACATATTTTGACATGTTTTAAGTTTTGTATGACCTATTGCAGTGTTTCCCAACCTTTTTTTCCTCGCGAACCAAAAGAAAGGTCCGAAAAAATTTGACGAACCCCCTATGTAGTCGTTAATGACAGGTAAAAAAAAAAAAAAAGCAATAAAATTTGATAGAATATATATTTTTCATATTGCAGAATAATTGATTATATTAATCATGAAACATTTAAATAAAACATTAATAAGACTAAAATGATGGCTATAAAAGTTGAAAACAAGATAAATTTAACAAACTGGTTCTTATGTTTTACATTTGGAAAAACTCTTAATGGGATATTTGTGGCTGTTTGATAGAACAAAGCAATTCAAAGTTAGGCTCAATATCTGACAATTTCAGTCTTAGATCAGGTTCAGCATTTAACCTGTTTCTGTATTTATCTTTAGTATATGTTGAAAATCCTTTCTCGCATAGATATGTTGTGCAAAATGGTAATAGAATTTAAATGGCTTTTTTTGACAGAACAGGATATTCATTTTGTATACTGAGCTAGAAGTCAATTAAAGATTGATCTTTAAAAATTGCTTCTAGAGAACTGTCACAAGATAACTCTATGAGTTTTTCTTTTTCCAGTATATTTAGAGAGTTTTCTGAACTTACATTTCCTTGAAATGGATTACGTATCCAGTTGTTTGAGATGGATATATTGCATCTGTTGGGAAAATAGTCATCGAAAGTTAATCGAAGATAGTTCAGATGTTCACATATACTCCTTTTAATGTTTTCATCAAGTTTAATTGAATTTTCTGATAAAAAAGTGCTGACAGAATCGAAACATCCATACTCATTCATCTGCAGGCATTGAATCCAAAAATTGATCTTTTTCAACATAGCCTCAATTCTATCATGTACATTGAAAATGGTGACACCCTCGCCTTGTAAAGACATATTTAATTCATTCAGTTTACAAAAAAAAAAAAAAAAAAAAAAAATGTCAGCTAAATATGCAAGCTTTTGCAGCCAAAGAACATCGGATATACAAGAAGACAAATGAAACGGATGATCAATAAAAAATGCTTGAACTTCAGACTTCAATTCAAACAAACGTGTCAAAACTTTACCACAGGAAAGCCATCTAACTTCTGTGTGAAGTAGTAAAAAAACGTGGAAACTTCCAAAATCTTCACAAAGCGTACGGAATAGACGGCAATTTGTAGCACGCGAAATACCACAATTTTCACAGCATCACTTAAAGTAGTAGATAACTCTGCAGGAATACGCTTACATACTAAAGCTTGCTTATGAATACAACATAAGAATGGAATATCCAGTCCTCACCTCAGTGTTGAGGTATCACTGGAGCCATAGGCTAAATATATTTAATAATCCAGCAATAGCTAAAGATTTTATACAAACAATTTTAAAATTTTTAAACCTAGCAAAATTTTGAAGTCCGCTGTCTAGAAGATGTGTTGGCCTCGCCAACATCTTTATTGAATATTAAGTACAAAAATTACAATGATCAATTTATACATCAAAGAAAGATATAATAAGTATATAATAATATAAAGAGAAAATAGATACACTAATACCATAAGTCAGAATACAATTATTATAATTCAGTACATTTTAGGAAAATACAGTTTATAGAATTATACATTTTAGGATAATACAATTTATAGAGTTATATATAACATTTGTAAGCCATTACATTAGAATATTAAACATATATTATGTTTTCATTAGAATATAAATATTCCATTAATTTAGATAATTGAAGTTGACCTTTTTCCAATAACATAAGTTTACGAAGTAGGTCGAAATTTAAAGTTTGATGAAATAATTCTTGTCTTTTGCTGTCCAAACTCGGGCAGTCTATAATCATGTGAAGTGCATCTGCTGTTTCTAAGCCGCAAGGACAGCGACTTGGTGGATTTTTTATCTTTAATCTGTTAAAGTAACAGGAAAAGTCTCTGTGATTCGAGAGTATCTGATTGACGAAGAAATCATGTCTTCTCAGAAAAGTGTCTTCTCTCAGAAATTCTAGGAAGAATCTTGAAGGTAGATCTACCAGTTTCTTCTTCTTGCCATCGGCGTTGCAACAGAAGGAGAGCTTGTTCTTTAGCTTTGCGCACTATACTACTAAGTGGAATTTTGCAATCAATTCTCTCTGCAGAGGATATTCCTTTTTTAGCTAATTCATCTGCTTTCTCGTTTCCTCTGTAACCGCGATGGCCTCTAATCCAATGTAATTTTACTTTAGTAATGTAAGCGAGCTTTTTAACTTCGATGATTTCTGAGTTTAAGATGTCGAACTTTGCCAATGATTTTAATACTGCTTGGCTATCCCTGTATAAGTGGGCTTTATACTTGTGATCTTTTAGCCATTGTAGAGCTGATTTCAACGCTTGTATTTCCGCTTGGTATATGGAACAATTTTGATCCAATTTATAAGAATATTCAGCTTCTAGAGTGCCGTTCCAATAGACACAGAATCCTGCTCCTGTGCCTTCATCATTCTTCGATCCATCCATAAATACTTCATAATTTTTATTAGATGGTCATTCCATTCACAAGTCTTAATCCGTGCTGGGTGAGTATACCATTTATGCTTTGGAAAGTCCAGAGCTTCTTTAGAAAAGTTGAGATTTTCAAATGAGAAGTCTGACCAACCTCTTTTAGTCCTTTGAATTGCACTTTCCTGGTTCAATTTGATGTCCAGTGGTATTAGGCCTGCTAAAGTCTGCAAGGCCGAAGTTGGAACAGTTTTATAACATTTGGTCATGGCTAGTAAAGCCACTCGTTGAATAGTATTTGCTTTGTTACGCATTTTAACTGTTGGTGGAAACCACCAGGCTGCACAAGCATAAACTGCAGTCCTTTTGATTGCACGTTTATAAAGTTCTTTCATGACTGCTTTGGATAAGCCAGGAAATTTCATCAATCTATTAATTATTTTGCAGACCTTAGTTTTGATATAGTCTAGATGGGGAAGCCAAGTCAAGCACTCATCGATAATTATTCCTAAGTATTTGATATATTTGTGACATTTAATGCCATTCAGTTTAATTTTAGGGCTGAATAAGCTGAGCCCCTCTTTTTAACTGCGATAAACATTGAACTGGACTTCTCCGGAGAAAAGCATAGTTTGCTTGTCTTTGCTCATTCTGTGATTCTAGTGAGGGCGTTGTTAGCTCTATTTTGAATCTGTTGATGGGTCGATCCCGTCACTATGAACAAAACATCATCCGCATATGCTTGAATCTGAACACCTTCTCCATAGTCTATTTTTAGTGCTGTGTTCATGACAATGTTCCAGAATAAGGGTCCAGAAATTGACCCCTAAACACATCCTTTTTCTTGAACATGAAAGAAATGTTCATTGTTAATTTCATAGACTATTTGTCAATTATCCAGCATTGATTCAATAACCTTGTAGAGATTAATAAGACATAAGAGGGATCTTAGTTCGTTTAATAAGCAAGGCCACCAGATGTTATTGAACGCACTTTTAATATCAAGAGATATTATATTCGTGTAACAATTATTTCTTCTATTTTCTTCGACCGTATTTATAATATCTTTAATTGCATCCGTTGAGCATACTCCCACTGTAAATCCATATTGTTTTTGGCTAATTTTGCCATTAGAGAATAGATAATAATTTAGTCTATTGGTAATCAACTTATCATAAACTTTGCTCCACGTATTTAGTAAACAAATTGGTCTGTATGCTTCAGGTAATTCTGAATTCTTTCCTTCTTTTGAGAACAGAACGAGTTTTGCTGTTTTCCAGCATTCTGGAAAGATGCCACGTCGTAAAAGTTCATTATAAAGTTCAGTATGCAACATTGGATTAGCATAAAATGCTTCTAAGATTATCTCTTTAGGAAGATTGTCCAGACCTGAAGCTTTTCCAGAGTTTAAAGACTTAATTGTATATTCTACCTCCTGTCTAGTAAACGGGAGGTGATCTCCTTCACCCGCGCCACAAAACCAGAAAATTTTCCTGTCATTGATTTTGCACCATCTGTACACACACCCACACAGTAAGACCAGCTTATTCCATTCTCTTTTCAAAATATCCATTGATCATATCGAAAATCGCTTTTCCAGTTGTATAGGTTTTCAAAGGTTTTGCAAATAGTACATCTTCTTGAACAATATTCGTAAAAAGATATCTAACGTCGACAAGCAAGACTGCGGCATTTGTTACATCTGTCGATTTGTCAAGTTGAATTGCAAAATAATTCAATTTTATTCTTTTTAGAAGTTCGTTCTCCACATAATTAGCCAAGTCATTAATTCTACGCGACACCGTGTTGTTTGATAAGGGAACTAACTCAATTTTCTTTGCTGCCTTTTCCCCAAGCATACATTTTGCGATATCTTTCGCACATGGTCCAATTAAATTTTCTGCTATTGTATGCGCTTGTCCAGATCTTGCAATTCTATAACTTACTCGAAATGATGCTTCAAGGGCCATTTTTTTAACTATCTTCGTTTGAAGTCAAGAAAGAAGAAAGGCTACACTTTTTGATATCTGCTAATTTTCTTTTGAAATATTCAAGAGGTTTATCTTTGTGTGTCGGATGTTTTGTTTCAATATGTCTACGAAGAAGTTATGGTTTTAAAATGCTGTTGGCAAGAACTTTGTTACATATAGCACAAAGCGGTTTAGGTTCCGACTCATCCTCAGTAAAATGAAAACCCAATTGTATAGTCGCTGTCATATTTTTGCTTTTTCTCTTTTCTATCATCATTTCCTTTGCTTCTCAATTCATTTCCTTTCCTTGCTCTGGTGAAACGGTACCTCACTACAGCTTTCAGTACTATCATCTCGATTATCATGTCTCGCTTCTAAATGACCCGTTTTTAAACATAGATCCATAATAAAAATAAGTTATAATAATAATTAAATTAATAATTATTAAATCATTTACACGAGAACTTGACAGTCACAGTATCACTATCACTCAAGCTTTACAAGTG